ACCATGTAATACTAATATTAATGAAAAAAACTTTTTTTCAAACTTGTCATCCAAATTTCATTTTACCAGAAGTTAAAACAGATCAGTGTATACATATCGACGTTTCCAAACTGTGTCATGTCGCCTTAGAATAGTGCATATGAACTACAATGGTGCTGCAGAATATTCTTGTATTTTGATAGGGATTGTATTTAATCCACATGATTTTAGAATCAATGCATGTATTGTTACTGGGGTGTGAAAGAACATATATAAAGAACTGTAAAAGTCATTGTTTTTAAAAATACCCTTGAAGGGAAATACTTAAAAATGTACAGGGATTTGAGGCTTTTTAAGAGCCAGAGCTTCATATGAAGTTTAATTCTGTAAAATGAAAACTTATTGAGATGCAATATGCTATAAAGACCCAATTTTTTTTGGCATTTCATTAAAAAATGAATAGTCCATGTGTGGCATAATACTTTTAATGAAAAGCAAGTAATGGAGGAATATTCAATGGGGAATTTCCATGTAATGGCAAAGTACCAAACTATGTTTTCTTATAGAGGTTGGAATAGCTGTGTAACTAGATAGGCCCCTGTTCAGATTTTGAGCATCATTAGAAATTTCTAATGTACAGGAAACACTGATGTATAATACTCATGCACTGTGTAGTTGCCAATTATTAATAGGAAGATGATATTAAATGATAAAAAAGTGATTTTCTTCCTTGGATATCTGATGCTTATAGATTTTAGCACAATAAGTCCTCTAGTGTAAAAAAGACACATTTAGAATAAGTACTGTAATAGTATTGTATGGTATCTTCTAATAACCTTTCAAAACCATCATAAAAGATCTAAAAGTGACATGATATGAAGAAAAATAATTTTGCTTGGTCTATTAATATGTATAATGTTATGCAAAATTACTGCAAGTTGATATGTAACAAAATTTAGTAAATTATACCCCCCAAATGAATATATGAAAGCTAATTGCAGAAAAGGTCTAACAAATGAAGTATTGCAAAAAAATATTGTGTGTGATGATAATATTTTATTAATGAGGTAAAATATGATTTTGCTTCTTCCTTGGATGTCTGATGCACATAAAATTTCTCTGAATTAAGGGTTATGCAAAGTAAATGACTTCCCAATGAAATGTTTTCCCAGATTTTTTATATGAAGTTAACTTTAGACAGAATGGAGTGCTGCAAAAAAATAACGTGTGTGCAATGATGACAATGTTTTGTTAATGAAGTAAAACATGATTCTTTTTCTTCCTTGGATGTCTGATGCACACAAAATTTCTTTGAATTATGAAGTATGTGGAGTAAATGACCTCCCAGTGAAGTGTTTTCCCATATTTCGGGTAGGAAAGTTAATTTTAGAAAAAATGAAGTCCTGTAAATGCAAAGAAATCACATGTGTGTAATGATGACAATATTTTGTAATGAAGAATTTAAAAAAAATATTTTTTTCTTCCTTGGATGTCTGATGCACATAAAATTTCTTTAAATTAAGAATAAGTGATTTATTTGTTGAGAATTTGACACGTTGTCCAATTTATGGATGTTAATTATGCAAAATTTGTGCAATGTAATGAAAATTCAGAAATTGTTTGAAGTTTATAACTATAACAGTTTTTGGTAGTTTTTATTTTATTTTTGTATTTGCATTATGCTGCTGATGCTTTGTCATACATACAGAAACATTTTCCATTTAACTTTATGACAAATCATACAGAATGTTTATTGCAAAATGTTATTGAGGCATACAAATAAACACTAAAGACTCGTCTACACGTAGCGATTTCCTCGGCCAACAATATCTGAGATAGCTCGCCTGTCCACATGGAACGATTTTTCTCATTAGTACAGGAATTCACTCGGCAAATCGCTGTCAGAGGAAGTGTTCCCACCCTCTACAGTGTCACGCTGTCTACGATTTGTAATCAAAGCTTACAGTGTTGTCAAATAGTCAAAATAATTTATGATTATAAATTTCATTTTCTTCCAGTCCTATTTGTGCACTTAAATCTTGAAATAATAAAATAACCATGTTTCAGAAAAAATGAGTAACTACCGTGCTTTAAATCAAAACCTTTATTAATGAATAAATGGCCAATAATGTCATAAAAATCAAAATGGTATGAGTAAAAAGTAGTAAAAAAGGAATAAAGGTTACTACATTACAAAGCAACAGTGTAGTTTCAATGCAAAAATTTCACATAAGAAATATCATAAAGGTGCAAAGTCATAAGTAGTATATTTATTGAACATTTAATAACTAAAACAGTCTGAAAACTATGATCATATCACTATCAGTTAATCAGCTAATAAAATTTAGCAATATTGTATTACATTGTACTGTAATTTGTTTTTGCAAAACTGAGTTTGTGACTTCTTTTGAGCTGGTACGTAACTACTAAAGTTATCACCAGTGGATCTAAATCACGTGCCAACGGCCATTCGAAGAATAAAAAGAAAGGCATTAAAATTCAGTAAACACCACACCCGTAGGCGAAAAATAAAAAGTTATTTTTAAGGCATCAGTTCAAATTTAGTGATGGAGAAACAAAATTAAAACGTCCTTGCAGGCGCAGAAAGTCCAAAAATTAAGGTTGGGGATCAAACCCACGGTTTTGATGTACGGAGAAAACCTGCTCTGCTCTTTACCACTGGGCTCATCTATTGCCCATGGCATGGCATCATTAATAGTTTTTGGAACTTTTCTTGGGGGAGTTAAAATAATTTTCACCCTGAATAGAAAATATTTGAATATATAAAGTAATGGGGAAGACAAAGCTTACCAAAATAAGAGAATCCCTTAATTTTTTATTTTTAAAATTTACATTACTCGTGTCCCACAACACATTTTCCCTATAGAAATGTATTGGTTTAAACATTTGAGTTTCGCTCCAACGAAATGCAGCCATGTTTATTATTCCAAATGAGGAAAAAAGCACATGATCACTCAAAGCAATCTTATTGGCTTGAGACTCCGAGTTTATCATATGCTAGTGAGCAATGAACACTAGTTCTGAAATCACGGTAGAGAACATGACTGATTTTTGCCACATGCGCAGATCCTTAAAATTGCTGCTCTACGAGAAAGTTGTCCAAGAAAATCGCTTCTTGTAGACGGCCTTAGCTCCATGTTGGTTCTGTGAGGTATTAAGTTTAAAATTTTATTGCATAAGCATTAATGGTATGTTTACAATATATATTACATTATGTAGCATACTGCTACTTCAGAAATGAGGAAGGTAAAAGTAGAGAACACTAAATCAGCAGCAGCAGTTCTTTGTTGTACCTGATACTGTTCTAAAACATCTCAAGCAGATTATCTATAGGTGTTCGACTTCAGAATGTGAAAGTGAAAAAAGATCTTGCACATGTACAAAAATATTATGATCACTGCACGAAATTAATATGAGAAAATTATGACTGCATATATGTTCTATGAGACCGGATTGTAATTTATCTCCGAATAGTCGTGTTTCGGCATTAGCCTACTATTCTATTTTTATTTATCACATTTGGTGTTCTGAGTTATGATATTTTATATGTGTGTGATTTTTGAAAAATTTTAGCTATATGTGTAAAAAAATGGAATTTGTATATATATATATATATATATATAGCAAAGATGCCAATATACTAGTAACAAATTAGCTTTCATTTTGAAACTATAAATTATGAGCATTATAGTTTATTTTGCATCAATTTAGAATGTGTAGATTTTTTCATTCTATCTTTCAGGCTATACTTGATTTGCCACTTCATGTTTAAAAGTTAATGTTTGCTGCAAAGGGTCCACCGTTGTGGCCCGCTTGTTTTAATTGTCTAGTATGACATCTGTGATCAGTAATTTTGAAAACTGGCACAAATTTATGACACTGGTCTGTGGATTAAAAAAAAAATTTCATAGCGTCATCATAAACTGATAAAGAAATTGTCACATAGTTTTGATGCCAGACTCAAGTTAGAAAGTCAAAGCGTAACATATTTTAAGTTGATTATGAGCCTCTTATGCCAGCTTGGTTTACTAATAAATATTTTAAGTATAAAGAACCATATTTTTTTAATTGTGCACAAGACGTTATAAAAATTTTCACATTGATGTATTCCCCTTCTTGAAATCATGTAACGGTAGATTATTAGTGAGTGAATTAAAAATTTAATATTTTGCATGTGTTGAGAATGATTAGATTTTAAATCATTGCTCTCTAATTGTGAATACGCATCTAACAAATAGATGTCATGAAATATCCATTTTTAAAAAAAAATTATTTGGGGATTTGTATCATTCTTACAGCTACATATATGTCAAGCATTTATAGTTCGCATTAAATATCAATCCTATTTTTCATTAATCCATGGGATTTGATGCAATATTTACCATGTTAGAATTAGTTCATGATTTAACAAAATGCTTACAAAAATATTGCACAAATACATTGTTTAGTAGAAACAATTACATTTTGAGCTATTTCTATTTTTCCTTTGTACTGGTGGTAAGAACAATTCCCTCCCCCCCCAGGTGGAAAGACAGTTGAATGGAACAGACAGGTAAAATTCTGCACTTGTGTCATGTTTTGAATGCTTAGTTTATTGAACAGTGTTGGCTGTGCCACTTTTCTCCATTAGCTGAGATAAACCGTACAGCTGTTTAGAGTCGCACGGGTAAGGCTGAAATTGTTTTTATATCATTAAATATGAATATTCTTATACTTTTAATTACATGGTGATTTTAGCAGTATTTGATTGCTTCGATACCAAGAAATATTTTTTTCAATTTTTTTTTTATCTTCAAGTTAGTTCCCTTAACACATTAGCTGCTAGAGTGGTTATACAAAACTTAGAAGCATATGAATATGGGTTGTGCATGATTGGCTATTTATTAGAACATGCCACCATACCACCGTGTGATTGACAGAAACTGTTGAGGTATAGTCTAAACATGTTAATGCCATTAATCTATTCTGTGTTTAGGATTCTTGTGTTAAGGATATTTGAGGTTTTGGTGATTTTCCACAAAATTTTGATCATGCTGATTTTGAGAGAAGAAATTTTAGTGTATGGAAACAGTGTTATCAAGCTTTTGCTGAACTGAATATTACACTTATTGTTGAGTAAATTAGCTGTTCTGTTTATATCTAAAAGAAAGTGGTTTGAACAGTGCATTGTATAAATCTAAATGACTGATTAAATGAAATTTTATTTAAATATTACTTGAACTGGATTTTTCATGTTTGCTTTTCTTCCCACCTATATATTTGTGGAAGAAGATTTTTGTATTGTTTCCTTTATGTAAAAACATTGTATAATCTTTATATGTGTGTGTAATACTGTAATTTCTTATTATAGGAAAGAGTTGGCAGAAGATGCAAGGCTTTGCGTGTTTTAAATTCATATTGGGTGGCCCAGGATTCCACATACAAGTTTTATGAAGTGATTTTGATAGATCCTGCTCATAATGCAATTCGCAATGATCCGAAGGTTAATTGGATTTGTGACGCTGTACATAAACATCGTGAGTTGAGAGGATTGACTTCGGCTGGGAGGAAATCTCGTGGTCTTGGAAAAGGTCATAAATATAGTAAAACTATTGGTGGATCACGCCGTGCTTGCTGGAAGAGAAGGAATACACTTCAGCTTCGACGTAAACGTTAAATGCTGTGTATTCCTTGAAATAAAATTTTGACTTATTAGAGTTGTTTTGCTTTTTTATATATAAAACTTCTTAGAAAGAACTTTTTCACCCAAGATTGCAATATTTATCTGAAAATACTTTTAATAAGAGTTTAATATTAGTTCGGATCAGCTGCGCGGGATGTTCCTTCTATAATCCAGGGGTCACGAGTTTTGACCAAAAAAGATTTGTAACTTTAATTTGCCCCCCAAAAAATAAGCATGTTATATTTGGATACTATAGATTTTAAAGTTGATCTGGCATATCATTAGCTTTTATACCTAATTTTTGTATTCACAATTTTTTCTTCCAATTTGCTCTCTGACAACATTTAATACCTACTGACCTTGTCCCAATGCGTTCTGCCAGGGCCACTGGTTGAATTCTCCTCTATGCATCTCTATCTGCAAAATCTTGAAGGGAATAATCCATAAATGATAAATACTTTCTTTACACAAACAGGTTACAGAATATTTACATAAAGAAAAGTGTTTAAATGTGGCACGACGCAGCGTGCGACTTCTCCGTTCCGAGTTCTCACGCAATCCCTAAGGGAGAGTTCATAGTTCGAGATGACGTCACTCAGCCATCGGATCTCAGCAAGAGTTGAGTTGCAACACCCTCCGGCGCGGAAGGACAATTGCTGTAATTGTCCTTATTACATTCCAGCTCCACTGGATATAATAGTTGCACTGGTCTTTTAATCGTATGGCCATTTAACAAGTGGACAGCATACGCTTACACCTTGCCATCTCTTCCAGGAAAGATTTCCATTATGATGCCCATTTTCCACATCAGCCTTGGAATTGTATCTTCATGCACTAATACAATAGTTCCTCTCTTCAAACAGGTTCCTGTTTTTGCCAGTTTGGAATGATGAGCAGATTTAAAATTCATCAAATAATCCTGCCTCCATTTTCGCCAGATTTTTTCTACCAGTATCTGTTGATATCTAAATCGATGTGTAAGACTCCTTTGTTGAAGTTAATTTAGAGCTTCCTTGCTGCATTGACAGTAACCGTCTTCTTATTAAGAAGTGACGAGTTGTCTAAGATTCTGGCTCTCCTACATCCGAGTATGTAAATGTTAAAGGACTGGAGTTCAATATAGCTTCCGCTTCTGTTATGACTGTCTCTAATTCCCTGAATGTCAAGGATGATTTGACTAGGATTCTCTTCAGAACAGCTTTCAGAGACTGAACGATACGCTCCCAAAAGCCTCCCCACCGTGCCGCCCTCTCAACTATAAATTTCCATTTGGTTCCTTGCTTAGAGAACTCGTCTTGAACTTTATTGCTTTTCATCACCTCGTTCAGTAGCTCTAATTCTTTTTCGCTCTTTTAAAGGTTTTGCCGTTATCGGTATACACTATTTGGCACAAACCTCTTCTTGCTATGAACCGTCTAAATGCAAGCAAAAGTTTTTCTGTGGAAAGTTCAGCTGTAAGTTCTAAATGCACGGCTCTAGTTACAGCACAGGTAAACAGTAAAACGTATGTCTTAGATAATTCTCTTCCACTTTTGACGTACAGTGGACCCGCGTAATCTATCCCGGAATTTTCAAATGGAAAGGCTTCTCAGCATCTGTCTGGTGGGAGAGGTGCCATATCTTGCATGACAGGTTTAGTTCGAAATATTTTGCAATTTCTAAGGGAGAGTTCATAGTTTGAGATGACGTCAATCAGCCATCGGATCTCAGCAAGAGTTGAGTTGCAACATGCAGCAACACAACCATGAAAACCAAGCAGATGTACTTCCTTATAGATTGCATTCATCGAAACAACACTTTCTGATTGTGGTTCTTTAGAATTTCTTCAGATAGCGCCCGTCAATCTCTGTCTTCTAGAGCGGTAAAGTCGCTGAACTCTGGTAGTTCAGTCTGAGGTTCGAATCCCATGAACGGGCTGGCTGCATGGCCGTTTTCGTGGTTTTCCCCATGTGTAACGTGTATACAAGCCAGTTTCCGTTAGAAAGTCCTCCACGAAGGCGTCCCTCTCCTTAGGCAGATAGCCCTAGTGTGCTTTGCCCATAATTAAATGCACCAACACCTGTCTTCTAGTTTCGTGGGTCTTCCAACTTGCGCCACATTCCGACAATTGTCGCTCCCATATCACTTTTTGAATGACACAGGCCACTGTGGATTTTGGGTAATTCATCCCGCCAGATATGCCCCTTAAGGGTCGGCCATTTCTGTGATAGCTGAGGATTACACCTTTCTTGAAATCATGTAACTCTGCACTTCGTAGCATCTTGCATGATGCTAATGCCAATGTTGTTAATTACATGATATTTAATGGCGAAGGGCGTAACATGTATCCCAGAACCGCATATATTGGCATTTGCATACGTGTCCAAATACTTATTGGTAGATAGTGTATAGAGAGTTAAAAGAATTTCTATTTTACTTCTTCTATTAGCCTATCCATATTTTGGTTTTAAACTTCTCAATTTATTGTTCAGCTGCTATTTATTTTGCATTTTGCCCATTATAATAGTTTTATTATTGATAAGAGGAACAAGACAACATTGTAGGTAGGCTTTGGTATGATGTCAGTTAGCTCCTTTTCTTTTGTCCGTACATGTCCGTGAAAACAGCATTAAAGGATCTGATGCCCACAATTCGCTAAATTTAAATTTACCTTTAGAACTTTTACAGCAGATGGATTCTGGATGTTGAAAAGTGTGTGAAGTCCCTCATTCTTTTTGTCAAACTTAAACGTTGAGGAACTTAGTGAATTATATAGTGGCTTATCCCTGAGTTCGCAATTGAAACGTACACCTGAGAAGGGTTAGAGTGTAAAGACATTAGGTATTTTTGGAAGCAGGCGAGATGAAAAATGACCAACGCCCTCTCTGGGAATCGAACCACGGACCTTTGGAATATGCACCCAGCGAGCAGACCACCACAACACAAAGGCATGCTAAGAAGGGGGAGAAATACCTTATAAAAGTACCCCTTTATTCCACTCAAAATAAGATGAAGAGTTTTCCCTTTTCTCGGGCTTACAACAAAGCCTCCATTCGGTCTTAAACTCAAATAAGAAATAAAAACTTAACTAAAGTGAGTTAGCCGAAGTTAGCATAACTATCTAACGTAGTTGGCCCTGAATTTGTACAAGCCGGCGAATATCAAAAGGAACGTAATATACGGCTGAGCGTCACAGCTTCTAGAGACTTAGCCCGAAGGCATACACGCGCTACTCAGGATTCCTAGCTAACTCTCACGAAATAAGTTGAAAATACTTCTAACTCATTTGCATTCAGTGGGATTCTAAAAACTCATTCTGGAATGAAGTTGTAAGTGGAAACAAGAATTGATAGGAAAGCACTTTGAAATTAAAGTAAATGTTATAAAATTAAAATATTCCTTGCATTTTTCTCAATTAGTTGAAGTACTCGAACAAAAAGGTCTCACAGCGACCTTTTTGAGAGCTTTAAATTCTAGAAAATTTTTCTCTAAATTTCACTTTCTAAACTTCTCAAACTTTAGACTCTACACCTTTTGATTTCTCCACTCAGTTACACTACTGAAAATCAAAGTTTTAACTATCTTTTAGGGTCAACTTTACAAAGTGATCTAAACGTAAGTTAGATAAAGAAAATTATGTTTACAAATTTTTTCATTCTTGATACTAGAACTACATACATCGTCTTGACTATGTTGAATCGTAATGACAATTTATCTCGTCTTTCGAATATATCTGGAAGGGGGGGGAATGAATTCTCTATACAAAGAAATGTATTTCGCTTTCCTCTGCAATTTACATTTTATTACATTTATTTTGCCCTCAATCAAATTTCATTCACTCATACTTTTAACTCATTCCCCCAACGCTCTCCAGAAGTTTGTTGTGTAAAGATACGAGCGTATAAATGTTGTGTTGAAACGAACAACACTACTATCTAGCCAACTTCCTAAAAGTAAAAATATAGATATTCCAGATCTAAAAAGACACCTTAAAATTTCCATACTACACATAAAGTGCTAGTGCGCGAAAGTGTTTTAACGTTTCGTGTAACATATTCTATTAACTTTCTTTCAGATATTTCATTTAAACAAAGTTTGAAGTTTAAAGTACTTTTACATTCATTATCTAAAACTTTACTTTCTGTACAAACATTTTTACGCATTTAACATAATAACACTTTCAAATTCATTTTACATCAAAGCGTACATAGTTTAAAAGCTTTTTCGAAAACTTTTAACTTCTAATTTACAACCATTTCAATCGTAACTTCAAGGTCTTCCTGACTAAAAGATATTTACAGTAAATTTATTTGCGAACTAAAAAGAAATCTTGCTTTTAGCAGTGTTGCGAGTTTGAAATATTTCTTTCTCTGAACTTTTGTGGCAACATTGCGCAAGCGGAGATCGTCTAGGCAACGAGGAAGAGAGTTTCATTCTCGACCTACGCAGCTATTAAGCAACAATGCTTCTGTTCTCAAATAGTTCTGTTCATTAAAGTTTGTGTTGCAAAACTAACTTGCAGTCTACTAATTCGACGGATATACATAACATGGTCAACGTCGACCCGATGAAGTTCGAACTGTTTTAAAACAAAAATCTGAAAGTCGAAACGATTAATGAGAAAATGGCACCTGTGAAACTCGCAATTAACAGTCTTTAATCAAAAACGAGGATATATAATATCGCAAATAACGAGAATAAAGTGATGGTTACAAGATGAAGTGCCAGTGGATAAACTAGGTTCTGAGTTAGAAGATTTACGCAACGAATGCTACAGTGCGCTTTTGGACGTTGATTTGCCAGCCTTTGAAGCAAGCCTTGATGATTTGCAAATTGACCTCGAAACATGCGAGGTAAGCTTTCAAAAAATTCTTAATCAAAATTCTATTGCAAATGTTAAAAAGTAGTCCGTCCTCTGGCAACTCTAAAGTAAAATTGCCGTCAATTAATCTTCTCGAGTTCTCAGGTTCGTTCAAATCGCAGTTTATGGCATTAATTGATAATAATGATCAGTTGTCAGAACAACAAAAAATTATATTATCTTCAATCAGCACT